TCTCAGTATTCTGGCATCAAAATACTGCTGGAGAAAGGGGAATTGATATTCACTTGGCAGTCAAAAGATAATATTGAATGTGATATTTAATTTTTTTTTATTTCTGCAAACATTGGTGTGCACAAATTTCTCCACTTTGTATTTTTTGAGAAACAGATCCTCAACTAGAATGCAAAAATGTAAAACAGTAATTCTTATACTTACACTTAGTCAGCCACCAGCAGGCATAAACTCATCTATATTTAACTGATAATGTAATAATCCTATTATAATTAATCACATTTTCTACAGGAGAGTTGAAGGACATGCAAAGGGTGAGATGCTTTAAGATTTCACAAATGGATGTCACTCAACTTAAACACTTCTAAATAAGACTGAGGAAATGGGGATAGTTGAAAGAAGAATGTGCTGACAGCAAATATTTTTACTTGTGTGTGTAGTGGGGAAAGGGTTAAATAGAAGTCAGTAGTGGTGGGATACATGGAAATCTTAGGGCAAGGACCATGAAGATGGAGTCTCTGTTAGGGACTGAAAAGGGTTTAATGAGAAGGTACAGGTTAAGCCAATGGTAGAGAATGTGCAGAATTGGCTGCAAAGGGGTCTTGGAATAAAATCATTGATAATTATTAAGGGGTTTTGAGTCTAGAGTTTGATCTGGGAGAAACAATTGTAGTACAAGTGTTCCATCACACTAGTAGGAGGGAAGAGGTGGAAGTACCAGAGCACGCTCCCAGGATGGCTGCGGTTCTCTGCTGGTTGCAACTTTGCTCACAAAGGTAAGAGCCTGACCTTGAATCACTTCTGCCTGAGGAAGGAAGTCAAGAGGAAAACATCCAGGCTGGTAAGTAATTTACCCTCTAATCTGCTAGCAAAATTTAAAGAAGGATGAGCTCTGTGCAGCTTCTCAAAGAGAAGAACTGCTGAGTCTTAAGGGAGGCTAAACCTCTGAGTATGAAATTTTTCAGGAGAGGTTTAAGATTAAGTTTTAGCCTTCCCCTGTCATCTAGCTCACATCAAGAATAATAAAAGGCTCATTGTTGGCTGTTTTGAATCTGGTTTTGTAGGTCTCTTTACCATCTGTATAGAATGCTCTGATATTGCAGAGTTTTGAGGCCCTGTTCTTTTTAATCACAAAGCTTCACAGACTTATGATGAGCCCAAAGTCCTTGGCCAGTAATGTCACAAAGACTAATATCCAGTACAGATCAAATTAAAATCTTTCTGTAATGTTAACACAAAAACCATGCCTGTATCGGAATCTTCTATCCCAGTAGCTAAAGAAATGCACCAAGATATTGGCTGAAAAAATGATGCACTAAATTGCACAGTGTACTTTTTTCTTATTATTCTTTCTAAATCAAATTACTTTCAACAGTTTTTATTTAGTGTTCATAACGTGCTCAAAAAAGGGTATAAAATAGATGCATGAAATATGTAAATAAAACTGAAATTATTTTTATTTGGTTTGGTTGTTTTTGTGGTTTTGTTTGTGTTTTTGTTGGGTTTTTTGTTGTTTTTGTTTTGGTTTTTTCTGTTTTTTTTTTTTTTTTTTTTTTGTTTGCCTGAACTGGGATCCAAAAGGTGTGAAAAGACACTTCAGTCCTAGGTTTTAACAAAGTCAAGGAGTTTGTTGCAAAAATATTTTTAAAACTTTACCTCAGCCCTTTTTGCAGTTTTTTTTTTTTTTACAATTAATAAGAATGGATATGAGAGTTGGACCAAAAATCTGGCTAATTTGATACTCTGACGACAACCAATCATGAGAACAAGAGGAGCAGTGTGAGAGCAAGGAAAGAATCTGCCTCCAGCAAGCTCACCTAACCTCCTGTTTGCTGAGACTTTCTGAATCAAGACCCTTCCTGGATTTTTAGTTCATTAAATTATTTTAGTTGCTTTATGGTTTGTAGATTACATAAAGAGTTGCTCAACACGACTTGAAAAGAAAACCTTTAAATGAAGGAAAATCCTGTAGGAAAATGTAATTTTTAAAAAAATTTTTATGTTATCTGCAGTACCAATATGATTCATTTGAGAGCCAAGAGCAAAAAAGTCCACTGACAACTCTCTCAAAAGGACAAAGTTAAGCATGATTTTTCTCTAAAAAAAACTTCAGCCAAATATGAAAGATTATCAGGATGGTAAATGATGTTATTCTACAGGCAGAATGGCATTTACACTGCAAAATGAAATCTAGGCTGCACTTGATAGAAATGTGGTTGGAAAGTTTCTGTTACTAGGTGTGTCTAGAAGGGCTATCCACAGACTTTTCACACCCTGTTTTCCCTTGGAAAAATACCTCACAGTTCCAGCAATGTTACCTTTGGAGCATTTGGTCAAAGTTTCCATCTTTATACGCATTTGGTATTACAGAAGAACCATTCTAAAGCAACCTACAGGAGAACTAAATATAGGAGTTAGACGGGGGCAGGTGCTGCACTCCCACTGAATCAAGTGCTTCTGTCCCTGTACAAAGACAAAATGTACTTGATGGAAGGTTAGTTACTGGTTTGGCTTTCTTCTTCCCTATGGATTCCTTACATCATGCTCAGGTTGGGGCCTAGGCGTATTGGCATAGGAAAACCTACTCCCAGGTGAAAGTTGGGTCCTTTGTCAAGTAGTTACTTGAGAAAATACTTTCTGAAATATGGTAAAAGTGCTTAGGAATCCAGGTTTTCCTTCCAGGAACTTCTGTTCCCAGAGCAGGGGTGAGATGCTGCTGGGTATTACCTCTCATATTCTACAGATTTTACCCTGAGTATTCATGTTTCTTTTTTCTTCAGCTCAGTGTAGAGCCCTTTTGTAAGAGATTGAATTTTAAGTGTGTTGTTATTTACACAAATTATTTTACTGCCGCTATAAATAGTTTATTATTTGTGAAAAAAATAACAGCTAGGATGGAAAAAGTCCTTTTTATACATTGTGGACATTGATTGTTACCTGTGCAAGTGCTCATCTAGTTGTCAGCTTTGTCAGGCACCTCTGCTGCCTGTGTGCCAGCCTCTGCAGCAGAGTTCTGGCCTAGAGCTTTGCTACTTAACCAGCTCAGCAACACCCCTGGACTGCTGCAGGTTTCTGACTCACAGCTGGATCACATCTGGGAAGTTCAAAGCAGGATCAGTTCACATCCACTGGGTAAGCAAACAAAAAGATGCATCTGACATAGTCAACGTGTCTGCAATGGGGTTGAAATGAGAAGATTTGCCTCAAATTCATGGATTAACAGCATTACAGGAAAGGAGGGGATAGGATTTTTGGTGCCTCAGGTCTTCTGTAGAACACTGGAACACTTCTGTAGAACACATGAAACCTTCATGCCATGGTTTCATGTCAATAATGTGGACTCTCCTTTATCTAGAAGGGGTGAGGAAATAAATTAATTGAGCATGCAAATAGTGTTAAGTTTAACAAGCTTCTTTTGTTTCAGGCTTTCTGACACTTAGTTAATCCCAAGTCAGGGTAATTATTCCAGCTCTGTAGGCAGAGTCTGGAAAAAATGCAAGAGAAGTTTTGGGAGGCTGTGTTCTGTCCCCTGTCTGAAAAAGCACAGAGAATAGGGTTGATCTCTGCTCCCATTAACTAATTGTATTCATCTCCTACCCTCTTGCTTTCCAGCATCAAATACATTGAAGTGACAGGTTTAAATGTGCCAAATTTTTTCCCCTCTGTAATATCAGCAATTCTTGTATGAAAATTCCTCCTTCCAAGCCTTCAGTCTGGGAAGTACTACAAGTAATGCCAGTAAACCAGAAAGCTTGTAGCAGCTGGGCCCAGCTTAAAGAAAGAAAGATCCAACTTCTTGCAAACATGAGAGTAAAAAGATTTAATCTGGAGGGAATGTAATACATACATCACTCTTATAACTGTGTCTTTGAGAACACAAAATTCCATACAAGGAGCCATTATTTAATGTTTTTTTGGACATTCTGCAAAGCTTTTTTTCCCTAATACTGGTACGCAGTATCTGCCTCTAAGAAGCTGATTAAGTACTTTATACTTGCAATCTAGATGAATAAGACCTGCCTGATATTCAATGGATATGGGCTTTTATAGCAAAGAACCATCATTGTAAGCTGAAGGCATTTGAGAGGTTTGAAATGTGGAGCTGTCTTAATATTATTTGGGCAAATTTCACTTGGAATATTTCAAAAACCCTTTCCGATTTTCTTTTGTCAGATTAGGATTGGATATCTCCAAGTTAAATCTGGCATGTTATAAGAATTATCTGTATTTAGATGTATAGAATTTAAGGTGTGAGCCTAGTTTAGCAAAATGAGAGCAAAACCATTTCAAGCTACCAGGTTGTTAGTAATAAATTAGAGTGTTTTTGTGTCTTTGCAAAAAATAAACTAAACTTCCCTCCTGTAGGTGAATTAGCCTACCATCTCAGTGAAAATGAGCTGGGAAAAAGTAAAAAAGAAAAGAACCGTTGAAATCTAGAGGATGTTTTTATACTGGCAAGCATATGGGAAGACTGGAAATGTGATGGGTTTGGGCATGTTTCCTGGAGGAAGGGGATTGAGGTAGATGACAGCGGGTACAATCTTCAGGCAGAATTCGGCTGTAGGTGTGAGTGATACCCTGGCAGTTCAAGGAGAAGTTGTCTCTCAGCAGTTTAAATGCATCCTGTGTGAGAAGTGGACGTGTACGGTGTGGGACACCCAGCGCTCTCAGCTTTCACCGCCAGATGAGTGAGGTGACTATTTCGGTGTGTACATCTGTGCTGGGTTCAGACAGGGCTCCACAAATGCACCCAGAACTCTGATGTGGAGAGCCAATAGGGAAGGGTTATGGCTGGTCCTGGGCGTGACAGAAGCTGCTTAATTTAGCACCATGAGAACATCCCTGTGTGCGAGGGATAAATATAGCTGCCGGTCTGAGAGGCATCGGGTTTGGAGCACAAAGAAGACGGAGGCAATGGAGACAAATTCTGTGGCTAGTGTGGAAATGTTCTCTGCCGTCATTCCATTAACCTCAGGCACCAAGTCTGCTTTCAGGGGGCACTGAGGGACTGTCACTCAGCAGTGTGTGCTTCTGCCAGGAAGCCCCGGAGAGGGGAGCGCTGCTGGGGGGACATCCCTGCTCAGCTGCCTGCCCCCACACACTCTGTGCCTGGGAGGTGCTTCCGCTGACTGCAAAGGGAAGCACTGAGGGGTTTTGCTTTTCTCTTACATTGACACCTCTGTGTTCTGACCGAGCACTGCAGATTTCTATTATCCTCCCTTTTTGTACATTACTGACAATAAATTATATCCTCCAGAGTTCTTTATTTGTGGGAGGGCAGATCCTGGGGTCTGCTTTTGCTTCTTTTGAGTGACCTGTTGACTTCTGTGGCTTGGAGTTAGGTCTCTGATGGAGTATTTGTTGCTAAACTTCCTACCAAGATGCTGAGAGGCAGACAAATCTTTGTCAGCTGTGTGACAAGACAGCCTGATATTGCTGCTTTGCTGCTCACCTGTGCCAGGTAATGACCATTATCTGTCCCTGGGGCCTGGCAAAGAGCAATCTAGAATGCTTGCCAGAGGCAGCACAGCTCTCCAGCTTAGTTAATTTGTTGTGGAGTATTTTCTGTTTTAGCAGAAACATGTTCTCTCTCTGGGACTGTTCCCACAGCTCTGAAGTATTTGTTACAGTTGTTTTGTTAAAGATACAGTTGTTTCATGCAAAGTGGTCTGGCTTTGTTAGAGTCAAAATCCACACCTATGCAGTTAAATACACATCAACCCAAAGCTGATTACAAAGATGATAAACCATCTTTAACGTTTTTTCATGATGCTACATGTAGCTGCCATGCAAACATGAAGGGATGCTACTTATTCCAGCCTTGATAAGCAAGCATTGAATTGCACTTTGAGAAATTTGCTTTTGGATGAAGGGTTTTTTTGACTCTTTAAAGCTGGCACGCTGTGTGATGTTGTGAAAATACCAGATGTTCACTGACTGGGGAAGGAAAAAATTGTTTTTAAGAGGGATTTACAAATATAATGAAACTTCTAAAACATGACAGCAGAGGGAGCCATTGAGATTTGGTTTATTTGGTTCTGTTTTAAAGGAAGAAAAAAGGGACTTCAAACTATAGAGCACTATTCTCCTTCACATTTAATTGAATTAAAATGGGGAGGGGGGCGGGGGTGTGTAAATCCATGCTAGGTCAATCCATTTTACTCTAGTGCCACTTGTGGCATTGAGGTACTTCCAGATATTTGATTATATTAATGTTCTGGGCACCTTCCTAAGGAAATTCTGGGAACACAACTGTGCAGCAAGCAATAACCTCAGTGTGTCAAATGCATGAAGCCCCCACTGGAATGTGCAGTGTTATTTATTAAAATATGTACTATAAATCCGTGTTATTTTTAATCTGTATTACTGGCCTCATTTTTTACATCTACTGATATTTCTTTCTACTGTTTTGTGTTTACTTCAGTCTGTATACTCCCATATGTTTGCACTGTGCCTGAAGCTGTGTGGGCTTTGCAAGAATGTTAACAGAAGTTCCCGAAAGCAAGCTATGTGTGCACAAAATGTTTTTCTGTATTTTCTGAAATCTTGTTATCTGATAGGCTGTGGCAATTGGCTAAGAAGAAAAATGAGTTTAAATTCTTATTATTGACTCTCCCCATTACCTGCTGGAAACCACAACAAAGAAATGAGAGCTCACAGTGCTAGATGGTGTCTGCACAAACACCACAGCACGTGGTCCCTGAATCAAAGGGTGCAGCACAAACTGTGGTGTGGGAGGAGAAAGTGGAGGGGGGAAGATGAAGTGAGCTGCCTATAGCAGATTGACGTCAGTTCAGGTTTTACTCCTGGCATCATAGCTGCTTTAAGCCAGAGCTAGGTGATAGTGCTTGCATTAGTGGCCTGTATTTGCCATGCCTGCTGCATTTAGTTTGCACCAGGACTCTGCCATCATGCAATACTTTTTTCAACATTGTTACCTAATGTTGAATAGCAGCAGCAGGAATTTCACATTACCCTTCATGATGATTCCCATGTAGTTACATCCTGAACGCACATCAGCCTCTATAAACAGCTATTTTTTTTCAGTTCACAGGTGTGGTGGGGTTTTTGTGTTTTGGAGGTTTCTGTTTGTTTGTTTTGAGGTTTTCTTGGTTATCGTTTTGTTTGTTGTTGTTGTTTTTCTTTTTTCTTGTGAAAACATCTAAGATGCAATGCTGATTCAATGTTTGAATCCTCCTCATGTACTTGAGGAGATATTTTAATTTCATTCTTAGCTTAGTATCTCGCCTTCACAATTGTTCTGGTGTACTTTCTAAAGCCACTGAATGCTTGCTGACAAACACAGATATTGGAATGGACCTTGGACCTCAACACACTTCTTTTTTTAAGCATTTGCCTATGTGGGCAGGGAGCAAGCAGATTTGTCGTCTTATCAAAGGATGCTGAAAGTTTTCAGTTTTGGATATTAAGAGTAGAAATTGCTATGTCTTTTAAATGATGGTTCATAGCCATTTTTTCCGTGCACAAAATTCTGCATAGACCTGTAAGAGTTCAGTGCAGTTTACTTTAATAATAATAGATTTAACTGGAGATTGTTAGGCATCTGTGGAAAGAGATTTAGCTGAAGACAAAAATGCACTTGGAACCAAAGGCTGTGTTCTCAATTTAGCAAACCTAGACTCTTATACAACTAACAAAAATGAGAGTCCAGAGACTAAATCCAAGTGGAAGTGAGAGTTCATGGACATGCTAGATGCTCTAACTGCAGCCAGGCAGCTTTATATTGTTTTCATGCTAGCACTGCTGCTTCTCTACTATCTGCAGAACTAAACCCATCATGAGCAGGGACAGATTTGCCAAACCCATCACTTCTGAGTAGTGGCCACCTCCAGAAAATCAGATGGTTAACTAAGCTTCCAGAGGTTTTATACATAATGTGAGCTCTTTGAAGTGCATTGTATATTCACATCTGCTGCTTGCAACTTCCAGGTCCATGGGAAGCCTTTGCGGGGTAGATAAGATGAGGCATGAGCTGCTGCACAGAGGTGGTGTGAAAAGAGGAGTTTTGGAGTCTTAAGCCTTCCCTGCTTTCTGGTCTCTGGCCTTGGAGAGTCCCTACACCTGGATTGCTCTTAGAGTGACCTGTGCCTCTGTGGTGCTGTGATGTGTTGCATCTGCATCTGGTCCTGCTTATACCAGTTTCTGAGGTGCATTCAACTTCTTATCTCTTCCCTTGAGAGCTTAACTTCTTTGATGCTAATTGAGCTAAAAGAGCCACGAGAAGGGAAGAAATTCATACTTGCCAACAGGATTCCAATCACCTGAGATATGTGTTGTTTGGTATGATCCAGCAATGTTTCTGTGCTCATAAAAATGACTGCTTTCTTTAGACAGGAATAATAGAAATGTTTCTTATTTTGATGGGTCTATTAGTCCTTGGTCTAAACAACAAAATTATGTTTCCAGAAAGAAATCTTATACATAGTTAGAGCCCTGTAAAGAAAACACAAACAATTAAAAGCAAGATTCTCAGCATTTATAGAATCTTAGGTTACTGTAAGTATGGCACTGACTTAAAAATAAAAGCACAGTCTTACATTTTCCCTGAACTTGGGTATTTCCTCTGAAATTGAAACATCAGAATATGGACTTGTTCTTGCTTCTGAATTAAAAAAAAAAAAATAATTAACAATCAATAGCTTGTGATTTAGGCTTATCAAAATTTAGAGTAAAGCAGAATGAGTATTCCCTTCATTTTTTAAATTTAATAATTACTACAGTTGTAACTTGATGAGATTTTGCATTGGAAAGCAAAGAAGGAACAGTAAGCTCCTGTCCTTTTAAAGACTGATCCTTCTGAAATCTAATAGCAACAATTTATCTGCCTTAGCAGATTTTCCACTGTTGTTCATTCAAAAGGATGCGCAAAAGTGTGGGGACATTAGATTTTAGGTTTAAAAAATAATATTTTTTTAAACTGCACCCTAAGACACTGTTTGAATCAAAATTTAAAGTGTGTATTATGTATAGTAATTACATTTCAAATTCTGTTATACCAGCTAAGTCTTCAATTGAGATTATAAATGTTTTATTTCAATGTACAATGCCTGAATTAAAGTATCATTTCAGAAGTGTATTTTATTTTTTCAGAAGGTCATTGAGATGTTTTATGAGTCATTACAGATATTCCTAATCTCATTAATGTTTTTATTTTGAAATTTTTCTAATGTTAATAAAATGAGGTCTGCAAAAGAAAAACTTTTTTTTTCCCTTTAATCTTATATTGTATGTATATGGTATGAGAGAGTGTTTTAAACTAAAACAACCTTCATACAATCCTTATGGTTTGTTTTTCACTCTTGTTCCCACTCACTCATTCAAATTATCCATTTATTTCATTTATTTCTGGAAGGTGGGCCATGTTTGTGTCTTCCAAGAAAAATTATGACCATCATTCTTTGTTTATGGATCCTTACAGTTGATTTGAAACAGCTCCTGAGTTTAAAATGCAGATATCTATTAATCTGGTGTTATAGGAACTTACAATTAATTTAAGCATGTAAGTTAAAAAAGAAGAAAAAAATTAGGAGAAAAGAAGGCCAAGGACGTTGGATTGCTGTTTTTAAAAACATTTGGGTTAATATAACAGTTTCCAGTATGCAGTATATTAACCTCTCTCTCACTTCAGTTTTGTTTCTATCATTCTTTCTTTTCTGCAATCCCATAATGACATTCTTAATTCCAAGACACAGCATCAAATGAAAGCAGGGGTGCCCTGCATGTCTGTCCACTGTAATTACTTTAAGATTGTTTTTGTTTTAGTGATGGGTTGACCTTCTGAAGTTCCAGCTGTCATGAAGTAATACACATGACAAGGAGGTATTATATGTTATAGCATCCTTCAGCTTCCCATATGCGCTTGTCCCTCCTGATTGCCATTCACATGTCTGGAGAGTTCTCAGTTATGGGTGCTGAAATGATGAAGTAGATGCAGAAACTCTGTCACTTCTGGCAAATGTAATGTCTGACCTTCATAGCTGTACTCTGCCACTGGGGACCAGAGATAAACAACTCATCCTCTTGGCACTTCTGTTCCTGGGGGCAGATATGCACTCATGAGATCATCAGGTTGAAGTCACTCTATGAACTGTGACAACTTAACTGCTCATTGGGAAGGCTTTAAAAAGAAACAACAAACCAAACAAACAGCTGAGTGAACCAGCTTGTGGCTGTGCTTGTGACAGTATTGTTTGGTGTCACACACAGAAGTACCAGCCCACTCCAGAGAATGGTCCCTCATGGAAGCACACACCTCTCTGTGTGTGAACAGTGGTCACTTGTTGTGGATATTGAGCTGTGGCTGGCTGTTAGGTGTCTGAAATACATCTTCAGCCCTGAAACAGAATGTTCCTCTGGTGACTGGAGACCTGTGCTGCCCCTCAGGAAGGCTGAGAGCTCCCCTGTGCCAGTGATATCAAAGGTTATTATGCCTGCAACTAC